TCCCCCGCGCCAGGGAGCCGATCCCGAGGCCCGTGCGCTGGGGATCCCGCCCCGCGCTTGGCGAGCCGGGCCCGGGGAGCCGAGCGCACGACGCGGCGCCAGGAGGATCCGGGCTCTGAGCTCCCCGCTGCGCCTTGCCTCGGCCGGGCTCCTGCCTCGGGATCAGCCCCCGGCTCCTCGCAAGGGGCCGGGGAAGTTTCCAGCCCTTGGGGCACAGGGGGGGACGCGCCAGCTCCTTACCTGGGCTCTGGGCCTACCCGGCTGGTCTCGCTCCTCCGGCCTCCCAGCAGCGAGTGCGTTTGTCGGTTGGGTTCCTCCCTGGGCGCTCAGCCGCTCCGGGTGCAACCCGAAAAGGGAGGGTCCCGGCCGGCAGCTCCTCCCCCAGCTGGCCGGGGAACCCGCTGCTCGCCGGCGGGGGCGAAGGGCGGGCGCAGCACAGCCAGGAGGCGGCCAACTGGTACTGCACCTGCGTCCTTCGCCCCAGGGCCCCGGCGGCAAAACAGCGCAGCTGGGGGGCCCCGAGGCGGGGTCAGGGACCGAGCAGGGCTCCGGAGAAGACCCTCGCAGAAGGTTTCCTTGGGAGGTGGCGCTGTCTGGTGAATAGAGGACTGAGCCCCGGCTGCATGAGCCCCACACTTCCCCAGCCCCCCGCAATCCACCGCCTTTTGCCCCTGGAGAGGGTAGTGCCCTGGATCGCCCTGGGCCGGTCACACACCAGGATGGGGTTGGGGTCCCTGTGGTATAACAGGCCCCTCCAGGGGGTGACGGGCAGAGCCGGGTGTGGGGGGGCTCCAAAGCAGTCCGGGTCTGCAGCTCGAGAGGGGGCCGGCTGGGGCGGGGGGAGGATGCTCTTCACAATGCCGTTCCCCACCCCCACCTGCACCCTCATGAGGATTCCTGGCCTTAGCTCCTGCGGCCTCTGTTACCGTAACCCACCTGCACTTTGCCCCCGGGACTGGGCCACATGCAGCAGCTGATGAGCCAGTGGAGGTGGGTCGCTGCGCTCCAGCAGCTGGGCTCATGCCATGCCATCCAGGGGTGGCAGGTTCGATCCCTGCTGCTGACAACTCCCCGGGGGGCACGGCATTGGGTTAGCAGGACTCGTTCCCACTTCATGGTAGGGCCCCACCTGTGCCCCATGGTGACAGGGAGGCCAGTGGCCCTCAAGATCAGTGTGTTTGGGGGGTTCCTCCATGACAGGGGAAACCCTACTTCCTCCCCCTTGTTCCTCGGGAACAATCAGTGACACTCTGCCAGGGGACCCTGATGGGGATTTGAAACCCTATGTGGGTTTCTCCACCCACAGGATCTTCCTTCCTTGCTGCCCAGACAGAGGCCTGCTCTAACACTGAGGGTGGTCGCGATTGTTTTTTCCTCCTGCTGTGCCCCCCAGCTCAGGGCAGCGTGTGCAGGGGCAGAAGATGGATCTGTTGATGTTGCTCAGGTGTCTGGAGCACGGGGCATAAGAAGGCAAAGAATCACTTTGGGCTCCCGTCCTCCAGGGGCCCGGGCTGGCCTAGAAACAAGGTGGGACTCAGGGGACCCGCTGCGCTGAAGCTTTGGAGGAGGCAATTTCTCTGGGGGTTGTGCGGCAACACTTACTGCAGGGACAGATTTACAGCCCGATCTGACTGGAGATGCCTTGCCCCTCTTTTAGGCAGGGTTGGCTGAAGCGTGCCAGCAAAGTTACGCAGGGGGTGGTGTGTGTGTGTGTGTGTGAGAAAGAAAGAAAGAAAGAAAGAAAGAAAGAAAGAAAGAGAAAAGTTCGCCCTCTAGTGGTTCGGCTCATAGGATAAAAGACCTACTACTGCTATCGGGTAGGAGATTCTCTTCCAATCGAGTGTCAGATGCCAGTGGTTTTCATAGATTCCAAGGTCAGAAGGGACCATCAGATCATCTGGTCTGACTCCTGTTTATCACCGGCTGTTACATTTCACCCCATTACCCCTGTGCAGAGCCCAGTAACTCATATTTGGCTAAAGCATCTTCCAGAAAGGCAGCCCGGCTGGCTTTCGAGACATCGAGAGAATCCACCACTCCCCTGGGAAGTTTGTTCCAGGGGTTAACCAACCCCATTGTAACAATTTGTGCCATGTTTTTCATGGGAATTTGTTTGTCTGGTTTCAGCTTCCACCCGTTGGTTCTTGTCCTGCCTTTCTCTGCTAGGTTAAAGAGCGCGTTAGTACCTGGGATGTCTCCCTGCGAGAAAAAGGACACAACGCCTACCCCTAAAATACAACGTACAAGCGAGGCAATCAACCTGTTTCTTAAACTAGTTTTAAACACACACAGACGCAACGTTTAAAAGCAAGATTTCACAAACTTACCTTCCACCACGTGATAAAGACATGCTGGTACCTGTTTCTTCTCTTTTCCTGCCGCTATTATTGCAGTCTTGGGCTAAATGAGTAAGCCACATTTTAGTGAGCAATTCCTTAACTGCTTCCTTGACTACGTTTACACAGATACAAATACGGACTGTTTAAAGACAGGGTTTTTCGAACCAGTATTAAACCCAGATAGAGTTAAAATGGAAATTTACTTTGCCCTGGGGAATTACATCTTGAAGTTGCTGTTTTGGAATACCTTAACTGTGCATTTCCCAGTTTCAGAAGTTTGTTTTATTGAACTTGGTGTCCTGGAAAGGCAGGACTTACCACTGGGCAACCTGACGTCTGTGCTAACAAAGTTTTTTGTGAGTGAATTTCCTACCCTTTTGAACAGAAAGAGAAACGTTGCGGTAGGAGTTAGTGGTCATTCAGGCAGTTATAATGATCATGTGTCTTGACATATCATGTCGTGACAAAAAGAATCGGCGTAGCCGCTACTGTATTTGGAAAACTGCAAGATCTGGAAGGCTAAAGATAGGTAGATAACAGTGGAAATCAGCCTCCATGAGACAACAGTCAGGCCGCTACTGCTGTATGGGTTGGAGTGTGGGCGTAGCAGCGGGGGCGAGAAATGACCCTGTTGCAGAAGATTCAAGAAAGCCACCTGCGGTGGTTTGGACATGTGCTCAGGATAGACCCAGAAAGGACACCTTACCTGGCGATCCATACCAGAGTGCAAGGAACTGGAGGAAGGCCAAGGATGCGTTGGATAGACAGGGTGGAGAATGACACAGAACAAAAAGGTTTAAAGCTGAATGAGGCCATGAAGCTGGTACAAGACAGGAAGCAATGAAAAGACCTCAGTCCGCCCCATCGTAGCTGCTGGGAACCGAAGATGACTTATCACGTGGGAATGCAGTTCAGGTGCCCCGATGGGCAGGTGGTGATAATACCGAGCTCTGCAGAGCTC